ACAAACCAATGAGTATCAAAAGAACTAAAAATTACTAATACAAATTAGTATAAAAAATATAAGTTTTGAACCACTTAACTATAATTCGATGTGAGAGGTCACAAACTCAACCTAAACAATGAATCTGTTCAATTACACTCATTTAGATTTTATTTAAAATTTTCCAAATCTAATTAAAATTTATTTTAAAATGGTTAGAAGTGAGCATCCATTTAAAAGAGTTCAATAAAGTAAATAAGTTGATTAGATTAATTTATTCATCTCCTACTCAATTCAACCCAACCTATACATTAAATGAGCAAGTTTAAATTTGATTGCTTTATTGCATAATCCATGTTGACCCACCCAAACCCACCACACCCTTTGCCACCTCTCTTGAATCATTATTCAATCCAATTTAAAAAAATATTATTTAAATTTTGTTTTCATATCACTTGCTCTATTTTTATACAAGTTTTGTTTTATTCAATCTCACCCTTGATTTTTTTTTTTTTTTGGATCCACGGAGTAGAGATGGGGAGTGCCACCTCTTATGAATCATTATTCCAATCCAACTTTAAAAAATATTATTTAAATTAAATTTTGTTTTCGTATGCTCTATTTTTAAAAATTTTGTTTTATTCAATCCCGAACTTTATTTTATTTTTGATCCACAGAGTAGAGGTGGAGAGTCTTGGTTGGAGGGTACACTAGGTCCTCTTTTGAGTTAATAATGTGAGTGTGATTCAAGTATAATCTTTTTTACGTGAGATTTTATAATCGAAGAATTACATGTATTTCCAAAACATATTAGAAAATTTCAAAAACTTCAAAAAATTTTAAGGAGCTTCTATTTACCCAACGAAAAGAACTCTTTACAGCCTTTCTAATTGCACATCCTTAACAAATTAAAAAAAAATTATATTATCTTTTTATACACGTCCATCCATACTCTCATCCCTAACTTCCCATATTCTCTTTACACTCCTCAAACCTTTCAAACCTTTATCTCCACACCTACCCCAACACTGACATAGCCATCACTTTCATCTCCAAGCCGCATTTCCCCACCTCAACCATCACCCCTCCCAGTCTTCTTCCACCCTACAACCCTCCTTCCTAACCATTCTCCACTAGAGAGAGAGAGAGAGATTAGGGTTTTGAACTTTTAGAGATAGAATAATTTTTTGATAATTTTATATAAAGATAAAATTGTAATAAAAATATAAAAAAGAAGGGTGTAATGAAATGTTTTTGGAATGTAAATAGAAACCACATGCTCAATTATTGAATTAAGTTGAATGAGATTATAAGAATGTTAAACCCACCATGTTCAACAATTCGTAGTCCCATAAGACTGCCAACCAGACATGATTTATGTAGATCAAGATCCTTTCCATTACATCATCCAAGAGTTTTGAAATAATCATATAAATTCATTGTTATTTCAAATTAAGAAAAAATCCTTAGAACTATTCATGTGAAATTTTCACAATCTTAGATGATTTAATGGAAAGGATCTACATGGAATTCGTGAGAGGACCACCAAATTGCTAATCCAATCTCATCACCTAATTAACTAAACAAATATGATCTTATTGTTATATCCATTATTCTCCACAGCCACCATTCTTTTCTTTTTTCCCCTGACAACTACTCTCCAAATGCCCCTCAGCCACCGTGGATCACAACAAAGCAATCAAAACCAATACAATCCATCCACCAATCTCATTCCCAAACCCTTCCTTCAGTCCCCTCCATTCCCCAAACCCTTACTTTAGCTCCACATCTCTCCCTATTCCCACTGCCATTATGACTCCCATTGCCAGGCCACTGCTGAGAAATTATTTTATTTTATTTTATTTTTTTAAATGGGCAAATTACACAAACCTCCCCTATCACCAAAAGTACACCTTTAGCAAAGGAAAACTGACGCTAGCTTTTCCAATGGTCTCAAAACTTAATTCCGTTATGCTGTGTTTAGTTTATAAATTTAAGTAGAAATTTGAAAAATCACACTTTTTTATTTTTCTTTTCTAAATCCCTATCTAAATTTATGAAGCAACCACAGCCTTAACAATACATTCTTTCCACCATATCCTTCTTCACAGCTCTCTCTCACTCTCTCTCTCTCTCTCTCTCTCTCACAGTCTCAGACATTTCATTACGACCAACAACACAGCCTACCCATTATTCTCCACGGCCACCATTCTTTTCTTTTTTCCCTGACAACTACTCTCCAACTGCCCCTCAGCCACCGTGGAACACAACAAAGCAATCAAAACCAATACAATCCATCCACCAATCTCATTCCCAAACCCTTCCTTCAGTCCCCTCCATTCCCCAAACCCTTACTTTAGCTCCACATCTCTCCCTATTCCCACTGCCATTATGACTCCCATTGCCAGGCCACTGCTGATACCGAGATTCACAAAAACCCATCAATGCCAAAAGGAAGATGAAAGAGAGGCAAGGCGAAGAGAGATGACGACCCCTGTAATTCACTCTCTTTGAGTGAATTCATCAAGCAAATTTTTTACATCCTCAACCCCTTTCATACCACCATTGCACACCAGCAGCCAACCCCTCTCATACCAACCCCAACCTCTCCTCAAATGCCACAACCTACTCCCTTAATTCCACCACCACCATACCCTCTACAACCCAACCCCCTTCGCCGCTCTCTACAAATACAAAGAAAAAAAAAACCCCAAAAACCCCCCTCAATACATAACACAAAACTAATCAATCAACAGAATTCACAAAACCCCATAACAATCACACAAACCCTTGTTGTTTATACATTCACAACCACCCAACACTTGGGTTCAGAAAATCCCCAATTTTCATGTTGGAAATTGTGAGGTAAATGGAAGAGGAAAGTAGAGAGAAGCGAAAAGGGCGGTGGGGGTAACTGTAGGAGTCACAACTGGGGGGCGGGGGCAGGGTTGTTGTAAACTTGCAATGAGCAAATCTAGAGGACATGAGTGGGGCCATGAGCTGCTAGAGGAAACAGTTGGAAGTCACTGGTGGAGTCCAGGGAAGGGTGGGCAATGCTAGGTGGTGCCATGCCTGGAGAGCAGATGCACTGGTGAGGCAGCACTTCGTAGGATGGAGAGAGAGAGAGAGAGGAGCACAATTGGCTTTTTTTTTTATATATATTTTTCATCAATTTATTTTTCTTTATTTATTGTTGACCACTGTCAAATCATAATCAAGGGTAAAGTTGGCATTTTCCTACAAAATTCAATGCCGTAGCGTGGCCAACTATAATTTGAACAATTGCGAAGAGAGGTTAGTGTAATTTGCCCTAAAAATGACAAAGAAAAAGAAAGAAGATACCACAATAGTTATTTAAGAAAATATCATTACAAACTGGGCAATAACTAAGTTGGCCAAAACCCCAACACCTCACCAACAGGTCAAGGTTTGCCACATTCCAAACTCTCCCTTCCCCATGCGAAGGCCTTCAATATACCAAATAATAATAATAACACCATTCAGCTTGCTTGATTTGAGTTTTCAAGAATTACTTTTCAAAAAAATTAAAAAAAATTATTTTCATTATTATTTACTTTTCACTGAATTTTTTATTCTAAGTGATTTTTTTAATTTTTAGATACCTCTAACATAAATACACTTAAAAGTATAATATTTGTAAAAAAAATCTTTAGAAAATTCCCTAAATACCAAAAATAAAAAATAAAAAAACTCGATAATTCAATATATTTTTCGTATTCTTGTGTATTTATTAATTTTTTAAAATATTTTTTATAAATATTTTACTTTTTAAATACATCTAAGTAAGACACATCTAAAAAAATAAGAAAATTGCTTAAAATTTTAAACATATTCACTAAAAAAAAACATGAAAAATAAAAAACCAAATTTCCAGAAAATTGAAACCAAACACACTTATTATTATTATTAAATGGAGAAGAAAAAAAATTAAAAATAACTAGACAAACACAATCAACCGACTCAATGTTAAATCTAAAAGTTTTGAGACTTATGGTTCAATTAACTGGAGTCTGAAGAACACAACCCTAAGCAGAACTCATATGCAGCTTAATTAGGCTGACAAACTTTGCTTATTGCCTCTAGATAAAAAGTACTGTATAAAACATGATATGAACACAAAAGGACTTTCCATAAATATAGATTTTTTAGGAGCTTACTAATAAAATTCCAACCACACCATACAGGCTTTTCAGAAACCAATGGGGAATACAACCTAACTTATGAGCAAGTTATTAGCTCCACAGAGACTGCTCATGAAAATGAAGAGGTTTGGATGGGGAAAGTTAATACTTACTAATAATACCAACAAATAATTTCATATAATGATTTATATACACACCACACCAGGATCATTATTCATAGGAAACTTTGCCATGCTGTGTGCATCTGTGCACCTATGTGGATGTGCCTGTGCAAGAATCCAATCCCATACGAGATGTCCAGAAAGGGGCCCGGCAGTTGGCAATGAACAACATGTTTAATAATGCAACAAAAGTTACAAAACCTTTGAATTGGACCACTAGAAGTGGATCATGGGTTGGTGTCAATTAACAATCAATAATCAGATGGGGAAAATATGGTAAATCACAGACGTATTATAATTTTGAAAATAATTCAATGCGTATGACTTGCATTGGCACAGGACAATTTCCTAACAAATAAATCTGAGGAAAGAAAATGCCAGTCCTATAGTTGCACCAAGTAAAAGGCGTCAAACGTTGTATCCCTCCTCCCTAGTCCAGCCAATAATCAAAGCAAAATCATATTGAAACCCATACCAATCATACAACCAACCAAACATCCTTTGAACTCTGCTATTGAATAAGACATTTTAACTATAAGTGTAACATTCATATTTAGTTTATCATAAGATTCCAACTGTTATGATGACAAAGGTTGAGCCAGATTAAATAATCCAATGATTATAATTTCTAAAGACTGGTTAAGCCCCATTTCCCCAAACCTCACAACAACCAACATACCTTATCTCCTGCAGTAACTTTAAACAGAAACAAAGGAGGTTATTTATTTGATGAAGGTAAGCAATCCACTAAATGTTACACCAGGTAAAAGTTCTTTCAATGTATACAAAAGATTTGAAGCAACAATTTTGAATACCCCTGGGATTTTTAAGTTCAAAACACTGAAGAGAATCATAACATCATATGAAAAATAACATATCACAAAGTCTACATATTGAAAGCACAACACAAAAGACAACACCAGTAACACAAACTAGCACCTGACACACCTAAATGTTGTATTCCACTAAAAGCTCCCTTTCTTACCACAACAGCTATGCTAGAGTTGCCCGAGACAAAATATAGACAAGATCTAGTTAATCACTAATTTGAAGAATCAGTAATATGGATAATTGATTGGGACACTCGAATCAAAGCGGCTTGACCTAGAGCGGTTAATACTATCCATTGTTGCCCCAAAAACTCTTCGATTGTAATCATAATTGTTGCCGTCAAAATGCGATCTATACCCATTAGATTGGTGTACTACACCAGGCCGGACTGACAATAAATAAAAATCAAGGTTGTTAAGCACATAGGAAAACAAAATGAACCAGTTTTAATAAGCAGGAAAAAAGAAAATAAATAAAAACTTATCTAGAAAAACACATCACCTTGTCCATAATTTACCGGTTGTTCAGAAAACCTACACGATGTCGATAATCTTTCCGAATGTTGAGATTCCACATTATTAAATGGCACAGGGGGTGGCCCCACTTTGGGAGAAGAATTCAACATGGGCGTGGTCGCTGTGGACAAGTTTGGAGAGGGCTTGTCTTGCCCAGAAATCTGTTTTTCACAGTTCATGTGTCATTATTGATAAATTCTCAAAGAAGACTCTACCAGGACAAGGTCCTATGAAGGTGGCTCCTCCCATACAGACTTTTCCTCCTCCTGAAGGTTTCAACAGACAGCGCCCACGACAATAATCTATAGTCAAATCATCCTAAGCAAATGGAGCTATGTCATTCCACTAAACAAACAACAGTCAATTAATAATTGACCAGCATCTTCTTGGAGAAATGACAGCACTCCATTTCTATTGTCTCTTACACATTAACTTAAGACAGGTTGCAAAAGGTGTTAAATTTTGAGGAGCCAACCCCAGCCTTAAAAACCATAAATAAACTTTACATGTTACAATATGCTATTGCTGAAATCAGGAGTAAAAAGCAACACTTGTATTCAAGCTGTATACCAAGCCAACATAGAATTCAACTAAAAGACAATATAGCTAAAAATCTTAAGAAATTTAGCTTAGTTCAACACAGAAGCAAAAAGGAACGCACCGCAAATTTCAGTGTCCTGTTGTAGAGAGTCACAAGGCCAGAGAAAAGCCTGACAGCATAGCTTGCAATCTCTTCAGTCTCATATTCAGCAAAGGCAAAACCTTTCCGTCGATCAGTTTCCTTATCTTTAGGAATATACAAGTCCACCACACGCCCCGCCTGAATGAGAATATCATACAGCACTCTGTCGCTTACTTTCTCATCCAAGTTACCTTTGTAGAAAGCATAATAAAACCAGGTTAAGATGAATATTCATTTGTCAATAAAGAGATGCAAGAGGATTTCTTTAGTATAATAAGAATCACTTGCTAATTGTATCACCAAAATGAAAATTCTGTGCATTCATAAGGGAGGGGGGGGGGGGGATGTGTGTGTGTGTGTGTGTGTGAATTGATGAAGTCCAGTTAGGATTAACAAACATCATAACACAATATGACAATAATAATTAGTAATAACAAGTATCTCAAAGGGAAACAAATTCCAGTGGCAAAAAACAGATTTCATTTGATAATCATCAAGCAGCAAAGTAAACGAGAACGGTCAGAATAGGCTAGAAACTTTGTAATCCCAAGATCGCCAAGAATATAATCTACACCATTACATGAGGCAATCCAAGGATTTTGTGAATGACGAGAGTTAGATCTCTCCAGCAAACTAGCTCAATTTTCATTTTTATTTTTTATGATCATAAAACCAACACATTATTGTAGTTGGCACCTTGTAAGGCTTGGTCTTGTGAACAACCAAGTGACCGTGAACCAAGAACTAACCAAAACACGATTCACCACCATAAAATATCCTCAATAAGCTAGCATAAAGTGGTTCCCAAGAGGTTAACCACATTATTAAATGGTTGTGCAGACAACATGCACCTAGCTCTTCAAAGCTCAACTCTTGAAGGTTTTCTACTTTATCTTGCTGAGCTTAAAGATGAATTGCCTAACTTATATAAATAAATTTACTGCCCTGAGACCAAATTCTTTCCAAACTAATAAAGGGGAAAAGAAAAAAAAAAATCTCTTTGGGGTCACTGCTGTGTTGTGCCTCATTTTGAAATGCATTATGCGCTTATTTTTATGATCTAAACCGTTCATTTTGTAGGATTTGTTGTAGGATTTATTGAGTACTTCAAACCTCCCAAAAATCATATTAATCGGATATCAATAACTATATGATCAAATTACATATTTTTATACTATTTTTCAAAAGAAAAACTTCTTGTTTATTTTTTTGGTTTTGGTAGGCATGAAGTAATCAACAAACCTTACAACATAAACGGTTCAGATTATAAAAATAAATCCATAACGTACCACAAAATGAGGCACAACAGTCACTGCTGGGCCAAAGTGACCCCAATTCCTTTTTTTTATTTGTTTCCAGATTTCTCAGCAATCAAAGATAAATTATTTTTATGATCTAAACCGTTCATTTTGTAGGATTTGTTGTAGGATTTATTGAGTACTTCAAACCTCCCAAAAATCATATTAATCGGATATCAATAACTATATGATCAAATTACATATTTTTATACTATTTTTCAAAAGAAAAACTTCTTGTTTATTTTTTTGGTTTTGGTAGGCATGAAGTAATCAACAAACCTTACAACATAAACGGTTCAGATTATAAAAATAAATCCATAATGTACCACAAAATGAGGCACAACAGTCACTGCTGACCCCAATTCCTTTTTTTTATTTGTTTCCAGATTTCTCAGCAATCAAAGATAAAATTAAATTAAATTAAATTAAGCAACAAATACGAAACTAAAATTAAAACACAATTGTAGGTGGGTTTGTCATGTTTTCAAAGCAAAATTACAATAAAATTAGAAGGTACAAAAAATTTCAAAAAAATAAAATAAAATAGACAATTGTAACTCGATTAGAGCAAAAGACTAATACTTAATTATCTTCAGGAATTAGAACCCAAAAAACAATTTTCACAATTGAAATTTATTGACATGGTTTTTTTTGGGCGGAAAAAGCAATCCGATGAACAATTTTCCGTTAAAACAAGCAGACAATCAAAATTGAAGAAGAGAAGAGAAGGAGAACTCACCGATGTAGACCTTACAAGCAGAGTTGTTGGCAGACATGACTGATTCCAAGCTTGCGAGAGAGAGAATGTGTGGGTCGAAGAGAGATAACCCTAGCCTCCAGACTTTGTCTGCTCTGATGATTAGGGGGGTTTTAAGCGGTGATCTATTGTTAGATATACGAATACATATATATTCGTATAGATAGATTGTATTTTGAAGCGGTTTTTTCCGCTTCTGTCGGGCGGGCTTAGTCCAAATAAGGCTAAAGGTGGAACTTGAGTAGACTCAACCCGAGTAATTCGAAAGAGAAGTGCTGCAGACCTCAGTAGGGGTCGCGCTTCCAGTGACGTGGCGCGTCTCCACTAGTAAAAAAAAAAAAAAAAAAAAGACAATTTTTTTTTTTACCCAATCACGGAGCTACACCTCACTAAGTCTGAAGCATTTTGCAATTTGAAATTAGTGTAAATATTTTTAGAGCTTGAATAAGATATTTTTAAATTTAGTGCTGAATTAAATTTGGACGGATTTAGGTAAAAATATCAAACAATTCGAGCAATCCGAAACTTAAATTATACATATATAAATATATAAAAATATTAAATATATATATATATTATTAGCCATTACATGATATTAAAGTAATTTAGATTATTCAATCATATTGAATATATATTATATATACAAATAACATAAAATCTTATTCTCTTTTTTTTTTTACTCATAAATTGTAAAGACTACTATAACAACATCTCTTTTACATTATATAAATTATTTGTTTTGATGGTATTAATAATTTTCTATATATAAAAAATATATAAATAGAGTCAAATTTTAAATAATTTAATAATGTAACAAAAAAAAATACAATTTGGGCAACTCGGGTTTAATTAGGGTCGGGCTTGGGCCAGCAACCTCAGGTTACAATTCGGACTTGGGCGGGCCTGGGCAGATCTTAGCACAGCTTGGGCTGGGCTTGGATAACTCCCTAATCCGACTGAATCCACCTGAGTTGCACCCCTAAATAAGGCTTGGTTTGACAAGTCATTTTTTAGTGGTTTTTTTAATTTTTTTAATTAAAATATGAATCGAAAAAAATTAATTTAGATTTGAATTTTAATTTTTAATTTTTAATTTTTAATATTTTTTCTAAAAAAAATAATAATAACTTGGTAAAAAAATTAAAAAAATTTATCGTTTTTATATAATTTTTTGTGTTTTGAATGAAAGAAATAATTTTATAAAAATTTTAAAATATTTTTTTAGCGTTTAGTTTTATTAATTTAGATTTTTTTTTTTTTTAAAGGTTCAAAAAACAGTTTCAAATATCAAGCTAAAAGTTGTGTTTAGGAATATTTTTTAAAAATTTTACAAAAAATGTGTAAATTGTAAATAGAATAAAAATGAATTTTGATTTTTTATATTTTTATATTTTTTTAATAATTTTTAATTTTTTTAAATAAAAAAGGCCAATTGTCAAGCGCAGAAGTTGAGCCGAATCCAATTCTTTTGGGCCTAGATAAATAAATTGGACAATTTGAAACTCAAATCATGTATAAAAATATTAAGGGTCGGGTTTGCCTCTAATTTATGGTCAAGAGTGAAGGGTTGTTTAGGCTCCTGACACTTATCACAAATTTAATTTCGATAATTTAAATTATTTATTTTATAAAATATTTTATGTATATCATAAAGATCAATATGCTCATGCAAACAAAAAATAAATAAATAAAAACTTGTTTGATATAAAATATTTTGAAAGCATATGGAAAAAAAAAATGTTGTGTGAGTTGTTTGGAGGGGTGACTGACTGGTGGGTGAACAAATGTAATTGCTAAGGTGGCTGCTATGAATGGCTATGGAGCAGGTTTGGAGTAGGTTTGTGATCTTTTACCTTCACCCCGTATCACATTAGGTTCCAGGCAAATCGGGTTAGTGTCACGGCAGGAGCGGGTTATTTTTGTAATTTAAAAATAGTATAAATTATACTCACTTTTCTTGAGGTTTAAAAAAAATATAATTAATTTCATAATTTTGATACAATTATGCCGATGAAAAATGGTTGAGAGCTCTAGAAAACGAGCTTTAAACCATGCACTAATGACATGGAGCTGTGTAGGGTCCAACTTGATGTGATGTTTTAGCTTGAAATCTTTTTTTTTTTTTTTTTTTTTTTTTTTTTTTTTTTTTTTTGGGACATGCCAGCTCAGTAGAGCTCTTTTTAGAGCTCTACTTTTAGAGCTCTATAGCATTGTTGTTATACCAATATCTCTCAAAATTTTAATTCACACAACACTTAAGTTATTTTTTTTATCAATAATTCATTAATTATATGAATAAAAAAAATAATGTTATCATTTTTTTCATACTAAAATATAAATTTGTCTTTATTTATTTTAGTATCTATCTATCATTAGCATTAGTTTCTATTAATTTATCAATACTAAAAAGATAGTTAGTGTAATTATATTAAAAATGGGTGATTATCTGTATTTTGTCAAAACTCAAGGGAGATGAGCGTAAGTTACCCTAAAATATAATTATTAATAATTAGAGACTACATTAATATTTTATAATTAATGAAAATTAAAATATATCAAAAGAATAATAAACGAGTAAAAATGAATAGTAATCTTATTATATTATTTTGGTTTAATCGTACGATATTGAAAAAAAATATTAGAGAATATATATTATTTATATATAAATATAATTCAGACAGGGTGGATTAGAACAAGATGGAGGAAGCAAAACTCGTTCCCATCTCATTTTTTCACTGAGGCATGGAAAATATGAGCTAAATGGGATATGGGATGCTAAGGCAAAGTGGGACAAGAGTGGCTACTAGAGTTGGATATCGAAGAGTTGAGCGATGAGCGAAGGTCGCCGCCACAAGGGTAGTCGGAAGCCATTGGAGTACCATTTGGTCATTAGAAGATGGTCAATGCTTGTCGACGATCGTTCAGAAGGTGAAACAATTTGGTCATCGGATGTGGAGTTTTAGCAACTAATCAATTTTATAGATATTTTGGAGAGAGAAAAAAAAAACTGACAATTTTTTACTTGTGTTTTATATAATAAAATAGATATAATAATAAAATCATATTTGTGTAGTATGTTAGCAGATATTTTAATATTATAATGTGTTATAGATTTGATTTTCTTTTCTTTTCCTCCAAGTTTTCTTTTCTTTCTCTCTAAGTTTGTTTGCCTACCAAGTCTAGTCTTCAAGTCAAGTCTTCTTGTCAACCAAGTCAAGTCGTCATACTTATCCTCCAAGCAACTTCTAAGAATCCTCCAAAAAACTTATCCACTAAGTTTCTTCTCCTCCAAGACACTTGCCTACCAAGTTTCATCTTCTATAAATTGATCTAACTTATTTATCTTGAAAGTGAGAAGAAGTGTTTGTTGTTTTATTATGTTTTGTGTGAGATTATTAGGCAAATAAAAAATGGTGTATATGATAAAGTTTTGGATTCAACCAATTGTGCAGCATTGGTGAACCATACGACTTAGTCGGGCTGTTGTATCCTGGAGGAGACAAGTCAAGTTTTTTTCTGCTGCACCGGTGTGAGGCTATGCTTAACCGCAGAAGGCTTGAATCTCCTTAAAGATAACAAATTTCTCGCGCCTCAGCCCTTACAATAGTTATTGTAATTTTTATTATTTGTATTTTCTAGTGTTTTATTTGTAATTATCACCAACAATTTTAAGGAGATTCAAATAGCAAAAATTCATGGAGCTAGTATTGGAGAAGCCCAATGAGAATACCGGCGATCTCAACAAGCCCTTTCGGTTCAAGGGTGCTCATTTCAAGAGATGGAAAGGCAAAGTACTTTTCTACTTCAGTCTCCTCAAGGTAACCTATATCCTGACCGAGAAAAATCCGAACAAAGTCCTCACTGAAGAGATGATCGACGAGGAGTATGTTACTCATCTTGAAAAAATCGAGAAATACAACACAGATGAGCATAAATGTCGATGTTATCTTTTGAATTGTCTTTCAGATCAATTTTATGATTATTATGATACTACTTACACCACTGCCAAGAAAATTTGAAAAGCCTTGTAGAATAAATATGACACTGAAGAGACAGGCGCTAAAAAATATGCTGCAAGCCATTTTTTCCGCTATCAAATGATAGATGGAAAATCAGTGGTGGAGCAAATTCAAGATTTTCAAATTCTAGTGCTGAAGTTAGATCTGAAGGCATCAAAATTGGAGACAATCTGATACTACTTACACCACTGCCAAGAAAATTTGAAAAGCCTTGTAGAATAAATATGACACTGAAGAGACAGGCGCTAAAAAATATGCTGCAAGCCATTTTTTCCGCTATCAAATGATAGATGGAAAATCAGTGGTGGAGCAAATTCAAGATTTTCAGATTCTAGTGCTGAAGTTAGATCCGAAGGCATCAAAATTGGAGACAATCTTGTTGTAGCAGGTATTGTTGACAAACTACCATCATCTTGGAGGGAGTTTCAGAAGTCAATGCGTCACAAGCAAAAAGAGACGTCCTTGGAGACTCTAATCACACAGATTCAGGTGGAGGAGGAAGCACGAGGACAAGATGTGCTTGTGACACAAGAGCATTCCATTGCAAAGGTAAATTTAACTTCTGGAAATACTTTACCTAAAGGCCGATTTCATAAAAATAGTCACTTGAAACCAGTTAAGAAAATTTGAAAAAATACTGGAAAGCCACAAAATAAAAATTACCCAAGGCAAAAGAAATTGAACCAAGAATCCCCTTGACAAGATCTGACAAATATGACATGTTTTGTGTGTGGCAAAAGTGGGCATATTGCTCGAACTTGCAAATTTCGGGAACAACAATCTTGACCACAGGCTAATGTTACCGAGGAACCATTTGTGGCTATGATTACAGATATTTTTATGGTTCAATCTGTGGAAAGGTGGTGGGCAGACTCTAATTCCAATAGGCATGTCTGCTATGATAAAGATTGGTTCAAAGATTTTACTCCTTTTAATGAGGAAATGACTGTTATGCTTGGTGACTCCAGTTTAACCAAGGTGCTCAGGTGTAGGGATGTTGAGCTAAAATTTACCTCTGGACGTGTGCTTGTTTTAAAAGATGTGTTGTACACACCGTCCATGAGGAAAAATTTGATGTCGAGTTATTTGCTCAACAAAGTTGGTTTCAAGCAGACTATTGAATCTGACCAATATGTAATCACTAAAAAAGGCAAATTTGTGGGAAAATGGTATGCCTGTGATGGAATGTTTAAATTAAATGTTGAGAATAAGAAAGCACATGTTTCTGTTTACATGTTGTCTTCTATGAATTTTTGGCATGCTTGTTTGTGTCATATTAATAGCCGATATGTGGGAGTCATGAGTAGTTTAGGATTAATTCCCAGACTAACAAATAAGTTTGAGAAATGTGACGTTTGCAGTCAAGCAAAGACAACTAAAAGGCCTCATAAAAGTGTGGTGAGAAATACTGAATTGTTAGAATTAATTCACACTGATTTATGTGAATTTGAAAAAATTTTAACACGTGGTGGAAATAGATATTTTATTACTTTTATTGATGATTTTTCAAAATACACTTATGTATACTTGTTGAAAAATAAAAGTGATGTATTTTAAAAGTTTAAAGAATTCTTTATTGAAGTTGAAAATCAATTCGGTAAAAAGATTAAAAGATATAAAAGTGATAGAGGCTGGGAGTATGAATCTTTTGGATTCAACTCGTTTGCTCAGTCTTTGGGAATAATCCATGAAACTACTCCACCATATTCACCTGCATCTAATGGTGTAACAGAAAGGAAAAATAGAACTTTAACTAATTTAACAAATGTTATGCTAATTAAAGCAGGTGCTGCTTCAAATTTGTGGGGAGAAGCAATTTTAACTGCATGTTATGTTATGAATAGACTGTCACATAAAAAAACAAAAGTTACACCTTTTGAGTTGTGGAAAGGGCATAAGCTAAATTTGAGATATTTGAGGGTTTGGGGTTGTCTGGCTTTTGTTAGACTTGTGGACCCTAAAAGACCTAAATTAGGTGTGAAAGCTGCCACTTGTACTTTTCTTGGATATGTAACAAAGAGTATAGCCTATAGATTTTTTGATATGGAAAACAAAATAATTTTTGAATTAGGTGATGCAATTTTTCATGAAGAAAGATTTCCTTTTAAATCTAAAAATGATGGGGGTCAAAATTATCAAGAAAATATTTTATCTGAAACAGGTTCTTCTATTCCTCTTTTACAAAACCAAGATACTGTAGTTTTTGAACCTAGAAGGAGTAAAAGAGCCATATTAGAAAAAGATTATGGCCATGATTATCATGTTTTTAATGCGAAGGAAACACCAATAACTTTACAAAAAGTTTTGGTATCTCCTAACTCTGTTTTTTAGAATGGGACTGTAAATGATGAGATGGAATCATTATTATCTAATAAAACTTGGGTATTAGTAGATTTATCACCAGGTTGTAGAACTATTGGCTGTAAATGGGTTTTGAGAAAAAAAAACTTAAATCGAACGGAACTATTGATAAATATAAAGCAAGGCTTGTTGCAAAAAGTTTTAAACAACAAGCAGATCTTGACTTTTTTGATATATTTTCTCCGGTTACTAGAGTTACATCTATTAGATTATTAATTACAGTGGCTGCAATTTATGATCTAAAAATTCATCAAATGGATGTTAAAACAACCTCTTTAAATGGAAACCTGGGTGAAGAAATCTATATGGATCAACCTGAGGATTTTGTGGAACCTGGTCAAGAAAGCAAAGTGTGCAAGCTAGTTAAATCCCTATATGGCTTAAAACAGGCCCCTAAACAGTGGCATGAGAAATTTGATTCCTGCATGATTGAGAATAGCTATAAAACGAATGAATGTGATAAATGCATCTACTATAAATCTGAAGAGAATTCACATGTCATTATTAGCCTCTATGTGGATGGTTTACTTATATTTGGCTCTAATTTGCATATCATCGTGGAAACTAAAAATATGCTTAGTAGCCATTTTGATATGAAGGATCTTGGTGAGGCTAATTATATTTTGGGAATGAAAATCACCAAAACTTGTGATAGTATATTTCTTGATCAGTCGCATTACGTTGAGAAAATTTTGAGAAAATATAATTTTTATAAGTGCAAGCATGTTCTTACTCCTTTTGATCCTCATGTGCATTTATTTAATATTAAAAATGATAAGAATGCAATTAATCAAAAGGAATATGCTAGTATGATTAGTAGCTTGCGTTATGCGACTGACTGTACTAGACTTGACATTGCCTATGCAGTTGGAGTACTTAGCAGGCTTACTAGCAAGCCTGACAGTGATCACTGGCTAGCCATTGAGCGGATTATGAAATATTTATCTGGTACCATAAAATATGGTTTGTTTTATAATAAGTATCCTGCAGTACTTGAAGGTTACAGTGATGTCGATTAGAATTCCTTGCCAGGTGATTCATTATCAACCATTGGTTACTTATTTACCTTGGGAGGTGGTGCTATAAGTTAGAAATCAAAAAAATAAATCATTATTGCTAATTCAACAATGGAGGTTGAACTTATTGCTTTAGCTACAGCCAGTGAAGAAACAAATTGGTTAAGAGCTTTGTTAAATGAAATCTCTTGTTAGGAAAAACCGATTCCACCTATATTGATTCATTGTGATAGCACCGCAGCAATCCTTCATTTCAAAAATATCTAGATTCCATAAGCAAAGAAGGCCACTACACTGCGTTCAGCATCAACCACCATGTAACCCAGCTCCTCCAATGGCCATACTGCCCCTGAAGCAATACAACATCTACCTTTCTTTCCTTAACCAAATTCTTAATCTTATCCATTTTTTGAGGTCTTCTTAGACCTCTTACATTCCATGTCATAATCTTTATAATGAAACAAAATTCATAACTCCTATCCTCCTCTTACCAATCAGTGGCTTAAACTGACTCTCCCTCTTTTTCTATTCTTGCTTGGTATTTTTCTTCAAGCTCAACAATTCTATTAACTACCTCATTTTCCTTCCCTTCGCAGTTGAGCCCTAAATTTTCCCAACCAATTGTAGCTTGAGCTTCATTTAGAAATTTTATGCTTATTCCTCTTCTTTTTTTTTCTTGAGTTTATGTATCTGGTTCAGATCTTATCTTGTATATATGTGTGTGTATATATATATATATATATATGGTCACGGTTGGAAATTTATATTTTTACTTAAAAAGTCAAAAAGTCACTATAACAAGTTAACCTATTATCTCTACTTTTACATCTCTTCTTATAAAAAATCAGGTGAGTGTGCCTTAAAAGTGATAATATTATAAATAAAAATAAATTCGGCATTAAAAAAAGTGTTCAAAAAAAACTTTATTAAAATTTAAAATTTAAAGTTTAAAATAGGAGCGCAAAGAAATGGAGTCCAATAGAATTTAATCATAAAAATAACATAGCAAATTAGCAATTAAGGCCAAGTTTGAAAAATCTTAAAAAAGTCAAAAAGTTAAAAAATTACTCAAAAAGTTAAAAAGTTATCACTATTCACCAAAAGTCAACAATTACAGTTGTACAATTCTCAATACTAATTTTTTCTTACAAACCTACACATTAATTTATACAAATTTTTAAAACATATTTTTTCATAAAAAGTCAAAAAGTTAACCCAAACATTCATATTTTCAACCTCAACTTTTTAGTCTAAAAATATAAAAAGTACACTTATTTAGAACGCCTCAAACAATCCCTAAAAGTTTGAAAACAAAAACACAAAATGGAAACCTTCCTGAGCCCTTCACCACGCACTGCTGTGCGTTGCTGAGTGATGTTACTACGATCACCTCTACGCCTCCACACCTTCCTCGTCCGCCCATTCACCACCGCCGCCAATCTTCTTTTTCCACCATCACACCACCACCACACCGCCACCCTTCAAAACCTCCACCTTCTCTGCACTCTCGGCCACCTCGAACAAGCCTTCTCTCTCTTCTACTCACTCGACCTACCTCCTTCCCAACAAACCTATGCCACTCTCTTCCACGCCTGTGCCACCCACAACTCCCTCCGCCGCGGCCGAGCTCTCCATCACCACATGCTTACCCACAACCCCAACTACCATTTTAACCTTCATCTCACGAACCATCTTCTCAACATGTACGCTAAATGCGGCGATTTGGACTATGCCCATCAATTGTTCGACGAAATGCCTCGCAGAAATATTGTTTCTTGGACCTCTCTTGTTTCGGGTTATGCCCAATTTGGTAGAGCTAACGAGAGCTTCAGTCTATTTGCTAGTATGTTAGCTCATTGCCACCCGAATGAATTTGCTTATGCGAGCGTGATCACTTCTTGTGGAATCGAATGTGGCCGGCAGGTACATGCTCTTGCCTTGAAAACCTCGTTTGATCGTTACATTTACGTAGCGAATGCTCTTATTAAAATGTATTCGAACGGTTGTGATTATGGTGTTTATGATGATGATTATAAAGATGAGGCTTGGATGGTGTTCAGGGATATGAAGTTTCGCAATCTAGTTACCTGGAATTCAATGATTGCAGGGTTTTCGATTCGCGGATTGGAGGACCGAGCTATGGGTTTTTTCTCATTGATGCACTGTGAGGACGTTGGGTTTGATCGCGCCACGCTCCTCAGTGTCTTATCTTCCTTGTGTCGAAATAGAAATAGCAGCAGCAGAAGCGATGCTGCTTTAGGTCTCCAGTGTTGTTTCCAATTGCACTGTCTAGTGATCAAGACTGGGTTTTTAATGGAAATTGGAGTGGCAACAGCTATCGTAAAAGCTTATTCAGACCTAGGTGGAGCAGTTGATGATTGTTACAATATCTTTTTGGAGACCAGTGGTAGTCGAGATATTGTTTCGTGGACCGGTATCATAGCAACATTCGCAGAAAGGGACCCAGAAAAGGGCTTCTTTCTTTTCTGTCAGTTGCTTCAAGAGGGTTTAGCTGCAGACTCTTATGCATTCTCGGCTGTACTAAAAGCTTGTGCAGGACTTGTGACTCAGCGGTCTGCCTTGGCTGTCCATTCACAAGTAATCAAAGCTGGGTTTGAAGATTATGTAGTGGTTGCGAATGCCTTAATTCATGCCTATGCTAGGTGTAGCTCAATTGGCTCAGCCAAGCAAGTGTTTGATGAGACAGAGTTCCAGGACACGGTTTCTTGGAATACAATGTTGAAGGCTTACGCCTTGCATGGTCAGGCCAAAGAAGCAATCAAGTTATTTGGGGAAATGAATGTCCACCCTGATGCCACCACATTTGTTGCCCTCCTCTCAGCTTGCAGCCATGCCGGAATGGTAGAAGAAGGTTCTAGAATCTTCGACACTATGTCCGAAAAATATGGTATTGTTCCTCAACTTGATCACTTTGCTTGCATGGTTGATATTCTTGGACGTGCTGGTCGTGTTCTTGAAGCCGAGAAAATTATAAGCGAAATGCCAATGGTGCCGGATTCTGTTGTGTGGAGTGCTTTCCTTGGAGCATGCAGGAAACACGGTGAAACCAATTTGGCGAACTTAGCAGCAACAAAACTGAAGGAATTGGATCCCGAAAACTCATTAGGCTATGTATTAATGTCAAATATATACTGCTCAGCTGGTATTTTTACTGAAGCAGGGCTTATAAGGAGGGAGATGAAAGGGCTTGGAGTACAAAAAGAGCCCGGTTTGAGCTGGATTGAAGTTGGGAGTCAAGTCCATGAGTTTGCCTCTGGTGGTCAAAAGCACCCTCAGGGAGGGGCAATACGTGCCAGTCTCGAACAGCTAGTTGGGAGGTTGAAAGGTTTGGGTTATGTACCTGAAACAAGGTTGGTCTTGCAGGACGTGGAAGAGGAGCAAAAAGAGGAGCAATTGTATTACCATAGTGAGAAGCTTGCTTTGGTGTTTGCTTTAATGAATGCAGTTAGCTTACAGTGCAGCAGGGGTGTTATTCAGATTGTGAAGAACATTCGTATTTGTGTTGACTGCCATAACTTTATGAAAGTTGCATCAGGACTAGTTCAAAGGGAGATTGTGGTGAGAGATTCAAACCGTTTCCACCATTTTAAAGACAGAGTATGCTCTTGCAATGACTATTGGTAACCTCCCAACATCACTCAGCGTAACCTGATTTACGTCTCTTTCTATCCTCCTTGCTGAAAAGTTTTCATGAAAGTGGATGAAATTGAGCCATCTTCAAGTTTCTACCTTTGAGTAACTTCCAATCCGTCCCCAAATTTTGTGGGTTATTTTTGTGGCAGGTTTGATGCCAAACATTGAGGTTTTCCTCAACATTAGCACCCTCACTACTCCTGGAGATTAACAAAATCAGAAATAAAAACTGATTAGCAGTTTCATATGGTTATTGAATGTGATAGTTAGGCATTCGTGGAAAAGGGAAAAACATGAGTGTTCACACCAGCTCAGGTGTACGTTTTGTTAATAGAATAGTAGATGAGATAAATATATATGTGTATATATATATATATATAAAAGCTTTAGAGTTTGGGTTGGAAGTGGCTGAATCAGAGGAGCCTGAATGACAGCAAGCCTACTGAGTTCCAGGGGTCAGGCTGAGGCAGCCCACGGGGCCTGCATGGCGTAGCAGCCAAAGGACCTAAAAGGTGGGATTGGGTTGATATTGTGTTCAACAAAGGAGAACCGCGCAAGACACATGCATTGCTTCTCAAAGCACACTGACATGGTTATTCTCTTGGAGATGAGAACTCGAGTTATGCAGTTACCAAGTAAGATGCTCTGCTCATTTCAATTCTTGTTGACTCACATTAGCCTGTGCTTTATGACCAACTCCAAATAGGCATTGATTTGATGAGATTTAATCTAATGGCTTCCAAGGATTTGAATCCGATTCTTTCTTTCGGCAAACTCGATGCATTCAGTGGCTTTATATATGTGTATATATATATATATATGCTTGCTTTAGATTTTTGGCCTTCCACAGTATTTACCAGAAAACTAACATCATGTTGTGCCATCTTGATTGAGAAATTATTGTCTAAGTTGTTAAACATTTCTTGTTTGCAAAAATGGGGTATCCAGCTCCTGCAGCTTATAATAATTGTTGTAATTTAGTCTCTGGTATGCTAGTAAGGAAAAAAACCAATAACTGTCCCAAGTTCCTCATGTTTTGGGTGGAACTTGGAGTCTGCACAAGAGCTTGAATTTTTTTTTTTTTGGGTGTGTTTTTTAGTATGAGAGCTAAAAATTCAGAGGGTTGTTTTTGGGTGATAGTGCCTTTATAATAAGATTCTTTTTATTTATTTTTGCCGTTATAAGTCTCCCGCTCACTATGCACAACCCGATTATCAACACAATCATAGTGACTAAATTTAATTTTCAAAATTTAAGTCTTATATTGGATTTGCTGTATCACGTGCTGCTTCTTGTTTTGTTATTGTGTCATATATCTAAAGAGCATCACCTCCAATGACAACTTTTCAAGGCACTCCCCGCAAGTAAGAGCATCAAGTCTTCATAAACCATGCATTGCTTTTATCTCAATAGAAGGATTACTCCATCCATATGTATATATATATATATATATATTCAGTGGCAGAGTCAAAAAATTAAATCAGAGGGGCACTTATTAATTACAACATTGAAAATTTTTACAAAAATATTTCACATAAATTTTTACGATTAACTTCAAGAAATTTAAATATATATATATATATATATATTTGTAACTAGTATATTATGGATAATATAAAAAAAAGTCATGGATATAAGTTTTAAAATAAAGGAAAAATTGGCCTAAGGTCCCTCCTCTACTTTTGATATGAGGAGAGGTCCTTTATAATATGTTTTGATGGCTAAGATCCCTCAAATTTATTTTAGGTTATAAAGTACCTAAATTACCCTTCCTTTATAACATAAATTTGTTTGAATATTATATGGTTGAGTTAACTGATACATTTTGGAAACCGAATTTGAAGGGGAGATTTTGTCGGAGTTTTCGTCGGAGATTTCAGTGGAGATTTTATGGTGGAGATTTCGTCGGAGATTTCAGTGGAGTTGACGAGAAAGATTGCTACGATCGTGTAGATTTTGTTGGAGATTTCGTCGGAGATTTCAGTGGTGTGATAGTGTATTGATCGCGTAGATTTTCAGTGGAGTTGAATCAGGTTTGTTTTCGATGGAGATAGCACATGCATTTTGATATTTGTTTTGAATTTTTGTGTAGAGAGAGGCCAGCTTGATAGAGTTGATTTTTATTTTTGGAATTAATTTTTCATTCTTTGTTTTTTTGATCAATTTCAGATAGTGTTGACAGTGTAGGTGATTTTGATGTTTAGAGTTCATTTTTGGTGCTCTGTTTTTTATCAACATGCTGATGAATTATAGTTGTGTTCTATGTTTTTTCAAACCAGAGAAATTTCATTTTCTGCACTATTGTTTGTGTAGTCCAGAGGAAATTATAAGTGCATATGGACATATTATTAGAAGTTTGCAATGGAGATAGAATATGAGAAAGTGAATGTAAGTTCATAAATTTCTCTATACTTGTATTTGTAGTTCAGAGAAAATTGTAAGTTTGTTACTCACTTTCAGTTTGTAGTTCAGAGAAAAGAAAAGTATTTTTCTGGACTTGTATTCTATGTGATTTTTTTTCTATAATTGTGTTTAATTGTTAGCAGTAAATGATTAAGATCTGTGTATGGTTTGAAATGCATATTTATATTCTCTATGACTATGCTCGCTTAACTAACCTCCTTACATTGCTATTATTCACTGAGCCTTACTCACCCTGTTTTTATATATTTATGTAGGTGAGCCATCGGGGATTGACACTAGAATTGTTTTGATGTCTACCTATCTGCCAAGCCGCCTGGGGTATGCCTCCGTGTTGAGGCCTTAATGTTGATTACTGAGAGTTATGTAAATTATGGAGTCTTATATAAGTGTGTATGTGAGATCTATATATAAGTTCTGAGATTGTATGTATAAATATGGAAGTGTATTTAAATGCTTAAAATTATTTAAGCCAACATGTATGCACGAGCTCAATGGATGTTATCTTATATTGATATTTACTTCTGCTTAAGGCCCCATTTGTGAATAAATATTCGTAAAATTTTGTTTTGTGGACTAAGTACAAACCAGTCATGGACCAAACTTTTAGGGGCAGGTTTGGGTCGTGATATGAAGGATATGTGAAGTCTTCCTACTCTCAGCTATAAGGGGTAATACTTGGCCTAGGCATGACACCTCAGCCTAGGTTGTACAAGTCATGAAACAAGGCTACTAAGTGTTGGCTAAGGTGCATAACTCGGCAAGAAGGTGCCCAGCATGGCTATAAGGTTCAAGGATCAAAGATCTCAGATTCCTAGGTGATGCACACCTCGACCTAGGTTGTGCTCACCACGTTCTAGGTGCGAGGGTGGAGGTGGAGGTTAGCCAAGATGGTTCCAAGATTTCCCTAGCTATTGTCGCTCAACGGCCTAAGTGTAAGAGGTTCAAAAGTGTGACCTAGGTGTGATGTAACAAAGGTAGATAGCCTAGGTTCATCACACAAGCATGAAACAAAACATGGATCATATACTTAGGCAAAATACAATAGCATCAAAACAAGACAGGATCTCACACTTAGACAAAATATCAAAGTTTACAAAATGCAAGCTTGACAAACCAAAATCATGTAAATTCTCATAAATATGACTAAGGCAAAAATGAGGGTTGTTATAGTCTACCCCTCTTAAGGAAGTTCGGTCCCCAAACTTAAGTTACCTTGCCCCGAAAATAATTTCGGATATCGGATTTTCATCTCCTATTCCATTTCCTATGTAACACTGTAATGCTCCTTCCATTCAATTTTCACCATCGGTATCGACTTATTCCTCAATTGTTTCACTTTTCTATCAATAATCTGTATTGGTTTCTCCTCGTAACCTAAATCTTCACTAACCACAATCCCGAAATGATCTATCACATGCGCTAGATCTTGAATATACTTCATCAACATCAAAACATGAAGCACATTATGGACTTGGCATAATTCTAGTGGCAAAGCAAGTCGTTAGGAAACGGGGTTAACTCTCTAAAGAATTTCAAATGGCCCGATGTAACGAGGTGATAACTTACCTTTCCTTCCAAACCTTGAAATTTCTTTCATTGGTGAAACTTTTAGGAATACATGACCTCCAACTTCAAACTCTAACTCTTTTCTTCTTTGGTTGGCATAACTCTTTTGTCGACTCTAAGCGGTTTTGATTCTTTGTTGAATGAGCTTAATCTTCTCGATTGTAACTTGAACTAACTCTGGATGAATCAATGCTTTATCCCCTACTTTGGTCCAGCAAGTCAGCGACCTACACTTTCTCCCATACAGAGCTTCATACGGTGCCATGTCAATGCTA